CTGCTACCTCCTCTTTCTTTGCTTTTGTGAGTAAAAGATATTGGCAGGCAACCAGAGTCCTCAGAGTCTGTTATTTTCTTCAGTCACAGGTTGTCTCCATGTTCAACATACTGGACCAGATTTTTTTTTTTAATTAATTATCCAGCACCTTCAGGTTTATTTATGCAGTGCAAAGTGACTGTAAAATGCCACCTGATCATTAAAGGAAACAGCGTGCACTCATTTTGCAGTGGAGTAAACACCCAACTGTATTAACTTCAGGTGCTCTCCAGATGGAAATCTTTAAATCCTGTAATTTCTTTCATTGCACAGAGTTCTGCATTCAGAGGTTTGGAAGCAGCTTTGCCGCAGGTTACAAACCTCCCTCTTTTCCTGCAGTTTCTCAGCAATTTTGTCCCATCTGCCACACCTTTGCCATCATAGCAGATTTCTGACCTCAATTGATCCGGTATCAGAACTCGACCCCTGGAAAAAGCCTTTTCTCGTGCATCTGAGGAACGTTACACCATTTCCCTTGTATGTCGGTGACAACTATTCTAAAAATAGCTAGCGTACAATTGCCTGTAAATACAGGAGAAATAGATCAGCAATGAAAGCTACTTTATCATCCCTGGCACCGGTTTATACTCTTTGCATGAGCTCCCAAACTGACACACAGCCCACACATATGGCTCAGCACTGCTGTGGTGTAATTCAGTTGCAGTAGCACTAAAAGCCCACTCACTCCCCTTGAGCTTGGTGTTGGACACATCTGCAAGGGACAGTCCCTTCTTCTGCCAGAGGTTCACAGCAGGCAGCTGGGGAAATGCAGCCGTTTTATGCACAGGTTATCAGGTAGCTGAGTCAATTGCTTTCGAAAAGGTCTGTTTGCAACAAAGGATCTGTTGCTTTGCACGGGGCAAGGAGCCTGATGGTGTGGGTTTGAGTCTGTCAAAGGATCTTAGCAAGTCCAGAAATTTCATTTTCTGCTGAACTTCTGTTCTTGAGAGTCTTGGGAATACCACATCTACTTTAAAGTGCCACAAGTGCATGAACTTAACAGGACTGAGAAGATGAAGCACCTTCCTCCCAGGAAGGAAGCAAGACCCCAAATTTATCTGAAAACATCGCTGTATGGGCTTGCAGGCCCAATGAGCACAAGGTGGCAACGCAAACGGCCAGTTTGCCAGGATTTGCAAAGGAGCAAATATATAACACAGCCAGGCACAACCTCACCCCTGGACATGCTGGTGAGGATTCCAGTGCCACAGCCACTGCGTGCATTTTTGTATAGCTGCATATAACGATGGTTGCTGAGAAACTCCAAGCTGAATGCACGAAAAAATGGCTCTGGGCAAAAAAGTTTGAGGAATTATGAGCAAATCCTCAAGACCTCAACAAAGAGCCCTCTGGAAAGGTACCTGGTTTGGACAGGGGTTATCAACCTCGCTTTCCAGGCAAAACTTGCTCACAGCAGAAGCTTTGCCTCAGCTGAGGGCGGTGCAGAACAGCTCAAGCTGCTCCACAGCATCATGCATACTTGGTGAGTACCATTGACAGCATACTGGAAAGGGGCCACCAGGCTGGCAGCGTACAGGAGAGCCATGGCTGCTCCAAGGCCTCGGCCAGGGTTTGCCCAGTACTTACTGGGAGCAGAACGTAAATTTGGGGTTGGAACATGTTCCTATACAAGCAGGTGCTTACAGGAGCTGTAGAGCCTCAACCTGCCATGGAGGCAAGCTGCATTTGATTCAGATCTGATCCAGAGAGCGTTCACTCTGGACTGTAATAATGGTCTATGTTAATGTCTAGTGATTCACTCGTGAGAAGCACTAGAGTAGGATTTCAGCACTTTCATTCTCCCAACAAGACCTGCCAACATGTACAACCGCCCAGTTCCTCCAATACGCTTCCCATGGAAAAAAACGTGTGCCAGAGCACCCACACCATGCCTCAGGGCTCCAGGAGACTTGTTGCCTGACCCTGCTGCTCCAGCTTCCCCTAGCAGGAACCCACAGACCCAGGCTGCCAGGGTCTCACCCCTTCCCTCCTCCGCCACCTCCCTTTCAAGCAGCAATAAGGTTTCAAGACACACACACCCTGCAGTGACTTCACCATGGAAATTGCACAGTAGAGAAAGAGGTGAAGGGAGGTCAGTTAATCCCACAGACACCACCAGGCTGGGACACACATGGGCTGGGGAAGAGTTCATTTTAAAACTAAATAGAAATGAGGTTACTGAGCTCAAGTTCACTTCTTTTCTGTGCTGTAAACCCCAGCCTCTGCTCCCCCTTCTTCATCCACTTATCCTCCCCCTGCAATACGCCTTGTGTCTTCATTATTCCCAGGCAATGGAATTGTGCTTGGGGAAGTGTATGCCAATCTTCTAGGAGAATGCACAACTTGGAAATGAAATAACTCAAAGGAAAGTTAATACTAGCTGCAGAGTCTCCCCAGCAAACACCATGGCTGAGCATCCCAGCCAAAGGAGAGATTAACTAAACAAGGAGACTTCAAGTACATATATATTGAGCCAGGATCCATATTTCCAGAAAGGCTAGGTCACTTTATAACACAGGTAAAAACTTGTGTGAAATTCAGCCTCCTTCAGGCTCCAGCTCTGGTGAAGCCTCATGGCTGTAAGATCTGCTTTTGTGCTGTGGCCCTCGCACGGTGAGACTCAAACCCCTGCCAAGTGGAGCCACAGCCACTCCTGGTACATCATGGCCATGTTCTGTTAAAATTATGTTAGGGAGCTTTAGCTTATCAGGAAAGATCTTTACACTTTAACCTAATTCTTCTGCAGGCAGAAGTGGGGAAGCCCCAGAGAAACTGCTACAACCTGCCAGGCTTTGGTTTTTCATATGGACTGTACATCCACGGGACAGATGGAGGAGTCCGTGAAGGTATGACAATGCCACTAAAATATAGACCTGCAAGGAAGGCCAGTCCTAATGCTAATAGGGACTGTACTCTTCTTCCCAGTGCTCTTCAACATCCCTCATCAAGCTGGAGATGAACTAACATATTCACCCACTTTCATTAATATCACCTGAATTGCTTAGTGATTAGCAAAGTTTCTTTATCATATTGGAAACTTTTATAGGATAATACAGAGCCCAGAGAGGCATATAGCACCTGCAAAGGGGAGTACATGTGGCCACATCCATAACTTCGTTAGAGCTCCTCCTTTGTGCTCTCATGGACAATTTCTGTGTAAAATCAGATTTGCTGAACAAGCCAGAATGGAGGATGAGAAAACATCCAATTCAAATGGGAGACGTCCCCATATGCAATACAGTGGGATGAGATACAAAGTTCACTACATAGCAAAGCCATGGCAAAACACACACAAGCCACACAAAACCCTTGTGCATGAGGCACAGACATCAGCCTGCCTTCCCAAATAGGAGTTACCAGAGATGCCTGATCTTCTTCTCTTTGCCTCTCTCGTTTCCTTCCATCTCCAGCAATAGGCCACTGGAACACAGTAAAGCCCAGGACTCCTTCAGCTCCGATCATGCCCCGAGACTTCATCACCATGAACCGTGGTGCTCTGAAGGCTGGTTATACCACAGCGCGTGAATATAATTTGTACTACAAGGCCAAGGACATTCGGTGCAAAAAAGAAGAATACATTTCCTTCAAGAGATGTTCTCCTAAAGCACCTGCAGACTTGACTTACGGCAGCCCACCACGGTAAGGGGGAAGACTTGGGGCCCTTCTTGGAATGAGATTATCCTTTCCTATCCTCACATCTACATCTCCCCAACAGGTCAGCTAGCACAGTCCCCACAATAGAAGTGTCCTGAACCTAGATTTGCTACTACTGAGTCACAGCATCACTTCCACATCTGATTGCACCTGTGTGTCCAATAATCAACTACCTAAATCTGTTCTACACACCACTACACATCTCCATTTCACCTATGGACCTAAGGGCTTGGAACCTCTTCAAAATATGTTCCAATCCTTTAACTTAAAGGAACATGAAGAGTTGTAAGCCAGAACAGCTTCTCCCACTTGTTTGTTCACTGCCCTGCGTTAGGATGAAACTAGTAGAACAACAGGATAGAGAAAAAGCAGCTTTTCACTGCTCTCTTCTGCTTTCTTGGGCTCCCTCCCAAGGGCTGGAGCGGAGCTGGTACTTGCTGCTTTGGCAGCATCTTCTCTAGAAAGGCGTAAGCCCACCTGTTCATCCCTTGCAATGCAGCAGGATGTTTAAGGCTTCACATCGAGTTAGGAGTTTTTGTATCACACTTTCAAAAGATTTTTACAAAGCATCCAGCGTAGGTGAGCCCTGACTGAAGTTCAAACAGGTACAGCATTGAGATGTGACTGGTTTAACTGTCCCCCGCAAATAACAGCTCCCAACTGCCTGCTGTGCTGCTTTCTCATGGGGGATTGTGCAACAGGGAGCCTGCAAGGGAGAACATTGGCACCTTAGACCAACTTGTAGGTCCTTCCAATGCCTGTCCTCTCCAGAAGAGCACAGGGAGGCTGAAAAAACACAACAGTCTGGAAAAGCCAGTGAAAGTGCAGTACAAACAAGTGCTCAAAGCATCTGAAAGGATTTTCTTGCTCCGTGCAGAGCTGGACCAGACATTAGGTTTCATTTTAAGAGCTGGATAATAATCACTACCAGGAAAACAACAGCTACAAATTCTGGAGAAAAGACATGATGAACGGCACCGTGTATTTTACATGATAGTAAATGGGCTTTGCATATGCAAATTGAATGGATTTTAAAATGGTATTTAATGACAATTTTCGTAGCAGACATTAACATTAATTGCATCAAAATGAAAATGTAGCATTAGCTTGCTGTTAGCTGCAAATGTCCCAGCTATAAAGCTTTATCTTTATCAGTATCAGCCCTCACCAATGTGACAGGGCTGCTCTGCAAATTGCAGGCAAAAGGGCTTTTATGTTGCAAAAGTATCCCCCAATGTAGACCAAAATCAACATCAATTTTGCTTTATTTCTTCATAAACGGAGGTTAAATGGCTGCCTGTAAGAAGTCTAGGCACGTTTCAAAAGTTTTAAGGAAAATCTGCAGACCCCACAACACCAGAAGTAGTGGGAAAGGGCTTTTAATTTAAAGTTATTATTGTACAACTTGCCTGCTCCTTAATAACTACCTTCTATGCAGACTGATTGTACTTATCCCTTTACTTTAAAAGCACATTATAGACAAAATCAAATTACTGGGATTACCAAGGAGTTGTTACAGCCATTTTGGTAAAAGTAGGAATTTAACATGCTTTTCCATGACTGCCAAGTTAAAGAAAGCAGCTTTGGTGAGCATTCCCACACCCAAGCCTGTCCCTAGTCACAGCTGACCAGATCCAGAAAGATCTGCCCTGTTAAAAGTGACATTGTTATCAACAGATTTAAGTTGCTTCTGCTTTCAGACTCTAAGCACTGTATATGAGTGCGTTCTTAGCGCTGCTCTTGGCAAGGTACTCACAACTAAGATGCATGCTTCTCTGAAGGAAGAACAGTGGCTTGCAGTCTTTTTCCCTCACTCCAAGCACTTACTTGCCTTTAGAATTGTCCACTTAAATAAGCATCTCAGGTGTAGCAAAGTTTTTCAACAGGAACAGAGCCTGCATGTCATTCCCTAGCCTAAGGCACAGCACAGACCACACAGCTGAGAAGGCCAGAGAGCAAAGATGCCTTCCCATTGCACTGGAAGTGGCTGGAGCCACTCTGCTTTGTGATAGTGATGCTCTGGGACAATCCCCAGAATGCAAACTCTCCTAGTCTGCACCCACAGCCCTGTTGCAGCTCTTCTGCACAGCTGGAGTTGCAGCCCAGAGGCTGGGCTGCCTCCCTGGGAACAGCAGCACATGGGGTCATAAGATCCAAACAGCAACTCAGCAGCTGTCACAGGAATGTGTTTGTGATCTTTCAGCTGTCAGTGGGTAAGGTGCAGGGGGCTTCTCCAGCCCTGGCAGCATCTCTCTATTTCTCAGGCCCTGGGCTGTGCTGCTGAAGGCTCCATCTCCTAAAGACACCCAGGTCAGCAGTTCTCCTCGGGCTCACAAGTACAACCTCTCCTGGACAATCCCAAACAAAAATGAACACAAGTGCTGTGGTTGCTGTTAGTGCCTTATTAATCATGCCCTGGCCCTGCTGTTTCCTCTAGCACGGCAGATCGCTTACGCCTCTGCTTTCCATTCATGGTGGACGTGTGCTGCACGGAGCATTTCACAAGCAGTATCAGACACTGGAGTGAGATTTCTGAAGCTTTGAGGCCTTTCCTGGGATATTTACCTTCAAAGGTCACCCATACCTCTCTGTTAATTCCCCATGGGCATCTTCCAGTGGAGAGAAGCATCTCTGCTTTTTTGCTGATTCCCCCCCGTTCTCTCCCTCCCTTTTCCCAGAGAAATGTTTGCTACGAATCATGTGGCCAGCTTTGTTGTGAGAGTCATAAAAAGGACATTTTTCATCTCTCTTTTTTCCTGCTCTCACTCCCTTCTCTCTCTCAGCATCAGACAGAGATTTATTCCCTCCCTGATGCCTGTGGCATTTGGAGCTGGGAGGGGTCAGGGGAGGCACTGATGGGACGATAATAGATAATACAGTGGTTCCCCAGGGTCTTGTCCAGCTCCGTAGCCGATCCATCAGCAGGCAGCGCTCGTGCCAAGGTCAGCGGTAACGAGGATGTGGTAGGGTCCCAGCCTCCCCCATGGGGCATCCTCCAGTCAGGCTCCCCCAGTTCATGCTCTGGCTTCTGAGCTCTACAAGAGCTGCCTTGTGCAAGCCACAATTTGCAAGATAGCACGTGTCCACCAAATGCAGGCGCTGGGGTAATGACCACATTAGTGTGTATGCACGCTCAACTTCACCTGCCCCAGCCCTCATCCCCACTGCGAACACATCTACAGGTTTTCTTTCAAGGAAAATGCCCATCATCGGCAATACCTCCCCTCCAGAAGCTAAAACCTTCCCCCCCATCCCTGTGCTTTGTACGTGACGTATTACATAGCTGCAAGATGTCTGTGCATTGGGGTTTGCTGTCCTCCTGCACCCAAGTCCTAGGTCCCTTCAGTTAAAATAACCCCACGACACAGTGCATTCAACTCCTGTACTCTTTGTGAAATGACTATATTTTGCAAGAGGAAAGACGCAGGGCGCTGGGTGGGCTGGATTTTGATAATACTGTCAATCTAAAGACATGGAGGGTCTGTGAAAACCTCCAGGATCTTCACTGGTGTCAATACAGCTTGTTATTCAAGGTACATTTGGAAAAGCCAACAGATGCACAGAACCTCATTTTCTGATTGAAGTTCACCATGCACTGAAATTAGCAGACATTAAATAGTCATTTTTGGGACCAGAAGTAAGCAGAAAGATATTGATGCTGTCTACAGCTAGATTTTGATTTGCACAAGGTCACACGAGGAGTTTGCAGCCAAAACGCACCAGCCCACAGTTGGTACCCCAAGCACAACTTTTCTCCCCAGGAGTGAGCAGTACAGTGCAGCCTCAGCATGAACACACTGTCCAGCATTTCCAGGGCTGCTTTTAGAGAAAAGCTTTCATTTGCCTCCTAGTAGTGTAAGTTTTCTAATTCTAAATACTACGTCCCAGAACATATTCCTGGCCACAAGGACTGCACAGACGTGTCATTCTACACCTGTACCTCCTTCAAACCCTGTATGGCCATAACCCTGCCTCCAACGTGCTGCCATCCACTTGGCAGTTGGCCTGTAGGTTGGGCTGACCTTGGGTGTGCTGGCAGGATTTCCCTGGCACTCTGTCATCCCCACATCTCCTGCCAGGTCCCCCCCTACTGTCTTGCCTTTGCTTCCACCATCCCTTTCCTGAATTTTTCATCCCATTTTCCTTCTAACTTCATCTCCTCCTACCATTCCACCTCCCATGCTCTAAAACTGGTCTCAATCCTTTGGCAGCTGTTTTCACCATATTCTTTATTCTTGCAGTAAACTCGCCTCTCTAAGGCATTTGGTCACCACAATCTCTCCTCTTCAGATTGTTACAATTGGCCAAGGGCATCAGTTATCCAGTACCTCCTTTTTGCTTTGTATCATTTGCAATTGTCCTAACGCTCTGTTGACAATTGTCTCACTGGCCTCTAGCAGCTCAGCTGTTACCTTGGCTATCCCTGCAGCTCGCTGGCTTTACCGGCTGCTCTGTCCTTAACTTTCACCTTCCTCGAGAAGGAAGGTTTCAAGGCTTATGCTTCTGCTTCGCAAGTGGCCTTTCCACCCAAAGCCTGTCACATTTGCAAACAACCAGAACAAAGTTTAGAAAGCTGCCCAAAAAGTGCTGCAGTATTTTCCGCATTTCTTTGGCTCGCAGAATGCACTGGTAGGTTTATTACTGAGACACCTAAAGAACGTTTGAGGTCATTAATATTTGCACTGGGAAAAAAAAAAAAAGCTAATTTAACTATAGACCAGCTGGAAAGATAAGCCAAAGAAACAACAGTGAAGAGAAGAGGGTGTTCCTGGAAAGAACCCGCCAGGAAAAGCTGGACAGGCGAGAAAGATGAATATTGCAGCAAGCCCACATCCAATCCATGATCACTGGAAACCAAACAAATAGTGTAAAGTCACAAAAATCCAGAAGATTGGGGCAAACAAAAGTTTTGGGGGAAAAAAAACTCTGAGCACTGACAAAACAAACTGTAAAAATGTAGCATAGTGACTGGAATCACTGTCAGA